CGGGTGGGAAACGGGGACGCGGCACTGCCGGCAGCTCAGCCTCGCCAGCGCCTGGGATTGGCAATGACAGCAGCACGCCTATTAGGGCTGGATCACAGCTGCACGGAGGTCGTTTATCGCTCGCTAATGGAGGTCGTAAGTCAAATCTGAAGCCTCGGTGGAAATCTAGTGAAAATTACCTATTTACAACACTCGGACTGCTAACTGCATGGGAGGCGTCCAGGACCTGCCAGTGTGAGGCCCTCCCTTGGCAAGCGGAAGAGCCTCAGCCCAGCAAGCGATTCCTACAGAAAAGTAGTCAAAGCACAGAGAAAAGGGCAAGAGCCGGAAAAGTGGGCTCGGTTCACGCTCAGCTAAGTCAACACGGCTTTGACCCAGCAGTGCTGGGTCCATTGCCTTTGCAAATGGTGCAAGACCAGGCGCTGCTCCCTTCCCCCTGCCCACGGGGCAGTTTTCCTACAAATGCACAGCCCAGACTTGATTGCATCAACGCTCCTGCCCTGACCGGCACGGAGGGGGATCTCGAGGTGCCTGGCGGCCCCCAGCACGCGGTGCACGGCCCTTGCCCGCCTGCGAGCCCCACGGTCTTTGGAGATGCAACCTCACCGGAGGCGTGCCGAGGAGACCAGACGTTGGCCAAGCCACCTCCAGCACCCCAGGGCTCGTGGGCAAAAAGATTTGCCCCTTTTCTAGCACACTGGGCAAATTTAGGGTTTCTTTCTCTTAAACACAGACCCGGTTCATCCCCAGCCCAACCCTGAGCGTGGTCCCTATATAAAGGGCAGATTTTGGCCTCAGGGCTGCTCTTGAGGCGCTGCAGGCCTTGCCAAAGTGTTTTTGGAGGACGCCCACCCCAGCAGCCCGCCCTGAGCGCTCCCTCCAGTCGTTCCCCCCACGTCATCCTTCGCTGTTCAGTAATGGTATCCCCCCTCCCTCCTGCCCCCTACATTTTTTTCCCTTCAGAGGAAATTGTAATCAGTGGAAGATAAATACACTGAAGGAAAAGGTGGCTGGAGGGAATTTTTCCAAAGTCCCCTCTGACCTCCAGATTGGACAATCAAGTCAATGTCTCCAGCCACGCTGCAAATTAACCCCCCCCAAATTACAACCGACAATTGCAAAGGTTCAAGTTTTCTCCATAGCCTCCCCAAGCAGGTCCTTCGGGGGGCAAAAGGAACATGGTGCCGAGCTATTTTTGACTTTGGGCAATTAAGAAGTCTTATTCTTGGAAAGCCATCAGGGTGGAGAAACGCTTTCCAATTCCTCCACTGAAAAAAGCTGCAGCAAATGTGGTTCAACCCGATTGCCTCCTGCGAGCCCAGGGTGCGCGGGTGGCAGACGGGGTGGCAGACGGGGTGGCAGCGAGATGACAGGGGTGGGTTGGGTGGCTGCAGATCCAGCGCGCGTCCCTTCCCCGTTGCTTGGCCGGGTGTGCCGGAGCGCTTAACCATGTTCATTTTTGTAAAGCTGATTTCAGTTTTTTCAAGGTATCTTTTTATAGAAGCGATCCGTCTCAGCTTTGCACACTGTAAACCTGTCAGGCGCACGCCGCCGGCAATTAGGATGGCATTTATCTGGTCCCGCAATCCCGCGGCACGGGAAGGGCTCCGATGCGTGAGCTAATGGGGAAAAGATGTGGCTTCATTACCCCATTTCATCCCTGAGCAAACGCGAGGAGCCAGGCAGGTAGAGCTGGGTGCTGAGCTGCCTCCGGGCAAGAGACAAATGGAGACGAGAGGGAAGAATGAACAGAGCGGAGAATTCAGCTGAAACAAGGTTTTCGTGCGGGATCCGGGAACGAGGGCCCGCTGCGAGCTACGCTGGGACACAGCTATCTTTCCGGGAGCGTTTGGGGAAGGGTTTTGGCAGCTGGCAGCAGCCTTTGAGAGGTTCCCTGCAACGTCCCGGGTGGCTTTGTGGTTGGGGAGCAGCTCTCTCCTGAATGTGCTGTGGGGGCTCATTTAATGCTAGCACCAGGACCTCAGCAAAACACGCCGGACCCGGGCAGCCCACGGCGCCGCGGTTCTTCAGCCT